CCTTCTCCACACTCTCCACAAGTTGATCTTGGTGTCATCCGTCCAAAGGATGTTGTTCCAGAACTGTAAAGGCTTTTTTAGATGTTGTTTGGCAAACTCTAATCTGGCCTTCCGGTTTTTGAGGCTCACCAATGGTTTACATCTTGTGGTAAACCCTCTGTATTCACTTGATTGTTGACTTTGACACACATACACCTACCTCCTGGCGAGTGTTCTTGATCTGGCCAACTGTTGTGAAGGGTGTTTTTTTCTCACCAGGGAAAGAATTCTTCAGTCATCCACCACAGTGGTTTTCCGTGGTCTTCCGGGTCTTTTGGTGTTGCTGAGCTAACCGGTGCGTTCTATCTTCTTAAGAATGTTCCAAACACTTGATTTGGCCACACCTAATGTTTTAGCTATCTCTCTGATGGGTTTGTTTTGATTTTTCAGCCTAATGATGGCTTGCTTCACTGATAGCGACAGTTCTTTAGATCTCATATTGAGAGTTGACAGTCAGATTCCAAATGCAAATAGCAGACTTGAAATGAACTCTGCACCTTTTATCTGCTCCTTGTAAATGGGATAATGAGGGAATAACACACACCTGGCCATGGAATAGCTGAGCAGCAGATTGTCCCATTACTTTTGGTCCCTTAAAAAGTGGCAGGCACATATACACACTGTTGTAATTCCTACACCGTTCATCTGATTTGGATGTAAATACCCTCAAAATAAAGCTGAAAGCCTGTAGATAAAGCACATCTTGTTTGTTTCATTTCAAATCCATTGTGGTGGTGTATAGAGCCAAAAATATTAGAGTTGTGTTGATGTCCCAATATTTATGGACCTGACTGTAACCTCGTCCTTGTGATTTTCTTCCAGAAAGCCAGGTCTCCCTAAAGACCTTGAAACCCACGCCTTGGATCAGAATCTGAGAGACACCTGAAACGTTCTCATTCCAGAGAAGAACCCCAGATCCATCTATCAGCCCTCCTACCTGCGCTCGCCTATTCAGAGTCACACGTTCAAAATATGACACTTTGTGTTTACATTTTTCCCAACAGCATGTGTCACAGGTATCCAACAACTCAATCAGCCCACTGCTGAGACTTGGCCACCACACTGAATGTTTGGCAGTTTTTCTACATTTAGTCAATCCCAGTTAACCTCGTGTAGCTTAGATAGAATGCACTTTCTGTTGGGATCTGGAGATCTGCCACCTGTCTCCAGCAGAGAGCGCTATGGGTCTCCTGAGCTGGAGCCTCCTGCACACCTGAGGATCATCAGCACATCAGGAGACCTCCAACATAGCAGCAGCCAGACCTGTCTTCAGCGCCGGACTGTTGACCAGTTTTGGAAAACCCGACTGAACTCACTAGCTCTGGAGGAGCTTATGTTTGGAAACCTGCCTGACTGCCCAAAGAAGCCAAACCTGAAGATCCTCAGTCTGAATCTCCCAGCTAGTTCTCAGGAGAGAACTAGGAGAACAACTCAAGGTCTGAATCTCGCAAGCCTGGAGCTAAGCTCTGTCGCTGCTGAACTCTCTGCTGGAACCACAGTCTCTGGACCCAACCGGTTCCTCTTCTCCACTGAACAGTCTGAATCTCATCAGGTACAAACCAAGATCTAAACTCTGCCAAGTTATCGCTGCTACCTGGCTAACCAAACTATCCCTCTCTGCAGATTACTCTGTGAAACCAAGTCCAGTACCAGAACCAGTGCACTATTTACTCTGTGTGTGCTTTCCTTTAATAAACTGTTAAACTTTTACCCTGCTTCGTGTGGTGTTCTGCATGTGGGTTTGATCATAGAGACCCATCATGACAGGCAGAGCAGGCAGGCAGATAGAAAATGGCAGAAAATGGCAAAAAAGCATGTATCTCTTTCTCAAACGCCTATTTATCTGGCCATCCTTCCAAACAGAATTTTTTCAGCTGTTTGGATATGATCTCGTCATCCTGATGTCTTTGGATTTCCCTCACTCCTGATTACGTGGCAGCTAAACATGCAATGACTCAGCCAACATACAAGTTTATCTCGTCTTCTTGCAGTCCCCTGGAGCTCTGGACAAAACATCAGCTGTAGCAATATTTTTGCCAGACACATGGGAAATAGAGTAAGAACCGTGTACTGAGTCCATATGACGCATCTGCTAACACACGTCTCTGAATTCGGGTCATACAATACTAGTCCTGGTCAGTGTTGGGAAAGTTCTCTTTCTACGTGAACTAGTTCAAAGTTCAGTTCACACATTTTAAAATGAACTAGTTCAGTTCATAGTTCATAATTCAAAACCAAAAAATGAACTAGTT